GACTTTAGCGGATGGACGACTGTCCCCAGTCACAGTGACCCCAGCGGATGGACGACTGTCCCCAGTCACAGTGACTTTAGCGGATGGACGACTGTTCCCAGTCACAGTGACCCCAGCGGATGGTGACTGTCCCCAGTCATAGTGACCCCAGCGGATGGACGACTGTCCCCAGTCATAGTGACCCCAGCGGATGGATGACTGTCCCCAGTCATAGTGACCCCAGCGGATGGATGACTGTCTCCAGTCACAGTGACCCCAGCGGATAGACGACTGTCCCCAGTCACAGTGACCCCAGTGGACGGATGACTGTCCCCAGTCACAGTGACCCCAGTGGACAGATGACTGTCCCCAGTCACAGCAACCCCGTGCCCCTGGGCTGCCATCTTTAGAGCCAATCACTTGGTCTCTTCCCTGTGGAGAGGTTGGTGGATTTGAACCACTGACTTTTTCATGACTCACTGTTTAATCACTGCACCACCAGAGCCTCTCAGAATTGTTGTTGTTATGTGCTGTTGAGTTGCCTGCTCTATCCTGAGCCGATCTCATCATCTCGGACAGACCTAATCCCACTTTTCCAGTCACTGTGTCAATCCGTCTCATCCGAAGTCTTCCTCTCCTGAGCTGTGCGTCCATCCTTCCAAACATAATGTCCTTGTCTAAGGACTAGTCCTTCCTGGTCACATGCCCAAAATATGTGAGATAAAGCTTCAAAATCCTAGCCTCCAGGGAGCAGCTTGATTTCACCTTCTCCAGGACTGACCTGTTTATTCTCCTGGTGATCCATGGTATATGTTCAACACTCTTCTCTAGCACCACAACTCAAAGGCATTGACCGTTCTTCTGTCATCCTTAGTCATTGTCTAGCTCTCTGATGTACAGCAAGCTACAGCAAAGATCATGGCCTGGATTGGATGCACCTTAGACTCCAGACTGACACTATTGCTCTTCAGCACTCTGGAGAGGTTCCTGACTGCAGACTTTCCCAGTGCAATTCATCTTTTGATTTCCTGATTGCTGGGGTTAAGAGTGTTGATTGTGGAGCTGATCAAGCTGTAATTGTTAACAACTTCAATCTCTTTTCCATCTATCATGGTGCTGCCAATCGGCCCAGTGGTGAGAATCTTTGTTTTGTTCTTGTTGGGCTTCAATCCATATTGGAGGCTGCAGTATTTGACCTTCTGCAGCAAGTGCTTCAGGTCCTCCTCAGTTTCAGCAAGCAGGGTTGAGTCATCTGCATGAGGCAGGTTGTTAATGAGTCTTCCTCCAGTCCTGATGCCACACTTCTCCTCATAGAGCCCTGCCTCCAGGATGATTTGTTCCACGTACAGATTGGAATTCTGCTCTCACGAGGCATGGATGCAGGGACAGACACAGAGCTCATACATCAGCGTTCACTGCGCTGTCATCACTATGGCTATGGAGTGGACACAACCCAAGTGACCATCCCCGAGCACGGAGAAATGCAGTGTGTTCCGTCCACGCGCCAGGAGGCTGTTGTTAGGAGCCATCAAGTGATCCTGACTCAGTGACGTTATGTAGGACGGATTGGAACCCCGCCCGACTGTGCCCCACCCTCGCCACCTCTGCCACCCGGGAGCCATCGCTGCTGCAACGTCACATCGCCTTGCCAAGGTCTTCCTCAATCCACCGGCCATCCACCTTTCCCAGCACGATGGCCCTTTCCTCCCCCAGCACACCCCAAGTACGTGAGAGGACGTCTCCCCACCCTCGCTTCTAGGCAGCACCCTGTTCGCACGTCCTGCAAGACTACAAAGTAGAGATGGCTGCTCATTTCTGGGGTAACAGGCCCTTGAATCTCTCTGAGTAAACAGCAACGGGACAGGACACAGAGCTGAGTCACGGACACAGAATCAGGAGAAGACAGAGAGCCGGGACAGGGACAGAGAGCCGGGACAGGACACAGAGCTGAGAGAGGACACAGAACCAGGAGAAGACAGAGAGCCGGGACAGGGACAGAGAGCCGGGACAGGGACACAAAGCCGGGACAGGGACACAGAGATGGGACAGGGACACAGAGATGGGACAGGGACACAGAGCCAGGACAGGGACACAGAGCCGGGACATGGACACAGAGCTGAGTCACGGACACAGAATCAGGAGAAGACAGAGAGCCAGGAGAGGACACAGAGCCGGGACAGGACACAGAGCTGGGACAGGGACACAGAGCTGAGTCACGGACACAGAGCCGGGAGAAGACAGAGAGCCAGGAGAGGACACAGAACCAGGAGAAGACAGAGAGCCGGGACAGGGACAGAGAGCCGGGACAGGGACAGAGAGCCGGGACAGGGACAGAGAGCTGGGACAGGGACAGAGAGCCGGGACAGGGACACAGAGCCGGGACACGGACACAGAGCCGGGACAGGGACAGAGAGCCGGGACAGGGACACAGAGCTGGGACAGGGACAGAGAGCCCGGACAG